AGTAAAAAAAAAATTTACTCTCAAGAATTTTTATGATATAAATATCACTCTTTATCTTAAAAGTTTTTTAGTAATTTAATGTTTAGACAATTATTTAATACTCCATCCAACCAAAATATTAGATGGAATAAATGTGGGGCACACTATGATATGTGGAGGCATTATCAACATAATTAATTTAAGGATGGAATGAATAGGTATATAATGAACGAGTTTGTCTAATCTGCCCTTTTTAATGTTTAAATCAAACACACCCGATCATCTTTAATTTGGGTTGGTTTGGACTATGTCTTGGAAACTCAACATCCCAATTTGAGTTCCGTTTGAATTTAAATTAAGCTTGATGATGCACAAAATTGTTTTTGCGCAAGATTAACAGTCAAGTATACGAACGAGTGCAATTAGTGAGCAAAAACAGACAATCAATGCCAATTAAAGATTAAAACAGTAAATAAGGAGAAAACACAGAGGTTTATAGTGGTTCGGTCCGGATGACCTTCTCCACTCTCGGGAATGGTAACGGTGGACTATATCTTTTATTAATGAGTGACGTCACCGGAGTGAGTATTCTCCAGGAGTATTACAATGCTTTGGAGAGAGAGAGAGAGAGTAATGTGTGTAGGAAAGTGTAATGTGTGTAGGGATCTCAAGACTATGAGAGTCTGTCCTCTGCATGTAGAGGACTTACATTATATAGGCACATCAAGGCGGTGACGTGAGAAAGAAGTCTTCCACAATTTTGGTAAATATAATCTTAGTAGGACTAGATCTCTGTATCCCGATATTTTTTCTCTCGTGCTCCTATTCACTCGGAGGAGGATTCTGGACTGGATTGGACTTGAGCCTGAGCCTAGACTTGAGTTGGAGTGACAAATTCAAGAGAGCTAAGGAGAGGCAGGAGGACCAACTAGGCGACGCCTCTTGGGTGACCCCTTAGGTGGCACCCCCTAGAGGGTGTCTCTTGGGCTTAGGCTCCTCCTTAATATCTCAGACTCTTCCTTGATGACATAGACTCCTTTCAGACTTCGGTGACGTAGGCCCCTTGGGGTGGCCTCCTTGGGCAGTTGGTGTCTTGGTCTCTGTTGACTTGTTGGGTCCGGGTCTTATTTTATTGACTTGGGTCTTCTTGATTTATTGGGTCAAACCCAGTTAATTTCTGACTTATCAAAGCTGATTTTTTTTCTTTCAAGTTTAATTCAAATATTAAAAATCTTTAATCACATACTAAATATTCCGAATTAGAATTGAGTTAAGCTGTCCAAATTATACATCCTCCATTGTACGTTGAGGGGCCATCTTTTAATCATGCCACTGCCGAGACATGATTGTATTTCCAACCTCTTGTGCAACATTTCCTTTGGGTTTCCAAAAGATAAATGCCATTGAGTTCAATAAATACTCAATGCACCCCACAAAGATTTCCTTTAATAGATCAAATCAATATCTCCCGATTTATAATATAAAATTGAATATATATCAATAAATTTATACGACGATTTCAAATAAATTCATTCAACGACTAACAACATTCATTTTAAAATCATTCAGATTGATTTATATTACACCGTACTTTCAGGCACAGATTATTCCTAATTTTTCACCAAAAAAAAAAATAAATAAACACCTAATTATTATATAAAATTTTTATAAAAATGTGTATGCAATTTTATCCTCGTATAAAAAAAATCGTTTACTGACTCGACCCAGAAGCCCAAGTCACACATTGGATTGGGGTTGGTCATGTCCTATGTCTTCAGGTTAATGCTTGAGCTAAGTCTAGCCCCCCACAGAACCTCTGTTAACAGAGAACGTAATAGGGTTTTGTAAACGATATCGGATGACTTAATTCACTATAGGGTCTGAATGAAGAGAAGTCGAGGATCAGAAGGGTTCTGGTGGTCGACCCTCCGATGATAAAATCAAAAAAAAAATTATTAAGAGCGATCGTATTTAGGTAGGAGGTGAAAATTTACCTAGTAATCTTCGAGCTTGACCTTTTTATAAGCTAGTAGGTTGGACCATTGAAGGTTTCTTATCCTCTCTTTGAATAAAGGTAACACTAGAATTAGAGCGGATAAGGACTCGTTGTAGTACAGAAATTTCAATTGGGTTTGAATTAGTCAAAAGAGTGATGAACTAGGACTATGCTAGATACATGTTTTAGCGCTACGGAGCTCCTCTATCATGCGGCAGAACTCCATTTACCATTGAGCAATACTAGGGATGTTAAAATTTTCGATCGATCGCAAGTTCCTACTCTATTCGATATTATCTTATCCTATTGAACAGTTAGTCACAAAAATTGGATAGAAATGCAGAAGAGTTTTTGGTCTTCTGACAATTTTCGGGTAAGAATGTAAAATAGTCATTTATTTCTGTATTTCTCCCCTGTTCTACCCGTAATAATTTTTTAATATATATATAAATTAAAAAAACCCTAAACCCACAGACGGATCAATTATGATTTTAATGTATTTTAAANCTAATTATTATATAAAATTTTTATAAAAATGTGTATGCAATTTTATCCTCGTATAAAAAAAATCGTTTACTGACTCGACCCAGAAGCCCAAGTCACACATTGGATTGGGGTTGGTCATGTCCTATGTCTTCAGGTTAATGCTTGAGCTAAGTCTAGCCCCCCACAGAACCTCTGTTAACAGAGAACGTAATAGGGTTTTGTAAACGATATCGGATGACTTAATTCACTATAGGGTCTGAATGAAGAGAAGTCGAGGATCAGAAGGGTTCTGGTGGTCGACCCTCCGATGATAAAATCAAAAAAAAAATTATTAAGAGCGATCGTATTTAGGTAGGAGGTGAAAATTTACCTAGTAATCTTCGAGCTTGACCTTTTTATAAGCTAGTAGGTTGGACCATTGAAGGTTTCTTATCCTCTCTTTGAATAAAGGTAACACTAGAATTAGAGCGGATAAGGACTCGTTGTAGTACAGAAATTTCAATTGGGTTTGAATTAGTCAAAAGAGTGATGAACTAGGACTATGCTAGATACATGTTTTAGCGCTACGGAGCTCCTCTATCATGCGGCAGAACTCCATTTACCATTGAGCAATACTAGGGATGTTAAAATTTTCGATCGATCGCAAGTTCCTACTCTATTCGATATTATCTTATCCTATTGAACAGTTAGTCACAAAAATTGGATAGAAATGCAGAAGAGTTTTTGGTCTTCTGACAATTTTCGGGTAAGAATGTAAAATAGTCATTTATTTCTGTATTTCTCCCCTGTTCTACCCGTAATAATTTTTTAATATATATATAAATTAAAAAAACCCTAAACCCACAGACGGATCAATTATGATTTTAATGTATTTTAAATGGTTTAAAGTTTAAACTTAAATTAATTGTTATTGTATTTGTATAACAATTATGGTGGATTGATGTTCATATTTTCTTGTGTTTTATTATAATTCTTGTTGTAGTTGTTTTAGATTTTAGTGTTAATTGATTTATAGTGTTTTTAAATTGATGCATGTTATTTAATTAAATTGTTAAAATGATCCAAAAATTAATTGTTACAAAAATATTTACTCAATTTCCTATCCGACTTCCTACCCGATTAATCGGGTAGGAAGTCGGGTAGGAATACCACACTTGTCGGGTAGGGTAAGCCAAGAAAAAACTCTTCCGCAAAGTATCGGGTAAGAAGACGAAAGAGCATATTTCCTACCCGTAGGGTAGGGTGAACACCCCTAAGCAATACTACAGAGACTTAATTTGGAAATTTTATTTGAGGGTCTTATGATGTGACTTTAATACAAATATTGGATTAATTGTGAGCAAATCGACCCCTCGTTTGGACAAAATGTAAAAGATGCACCTCATTTGTAATTCACATAAATAATGATAAACAATGATATTAATAATGAACAAACACAAATATCCAAAATACACTTTCACATAATTAAAGCATACATGTTTAATTCCAATATGAATTAAAAATAATCATAATAAGTAATATTTACATACCTTTTGGTTCAATTGATAAGTCTTAGGAAGTATTGAATTACTATAAGAGATCAGATTGAAAATGATTAATCTTAAATTTTATTCATTTACCTAAGATTGTTCTATATTGCTTAATACAATTTTACGACATCAATTTTATCCTCGTATACAAAAAAATCGTTTACTGACTCGAACTGATGTTTCTCTATCCTTAACCTTTTCCCCGTAAATCCAGTTTTCGCATAGACATTGTATCCACCATTTTTAATTCAAAAAGAAAATAGATTATCACTATGGATGTGTTTGTTTGTCGGATAGTATTTCTAGGTATTGACAAATAAAGTCCATACCAAATCTATTCAAAGAAAAACTAGCACCGATATTAAATACAAATTCAATAACACCTTTGGTTTGTTTGAATGTCACTGGATTAAGTGGGGCCTACCAGAAAAGAAAATGTCAGGGAACTTTATTATCCAAAATTAAAAAGTTTTAACCTTATATATATTATACGAGGGATGTGTACAAAGGGGTATTATAGGCATTTTTTAGCTTATACCGTCGGTGGAAATAATTCCGCTCCATTATCCCACCTACTAGATGGTACTTAATATACCCATGTACACAGTTATATTGCTATTGTAGAAATCAGGTCAGGAAAATGACCTGACCCGAAAAATAATACTAAGTTCAAATTACAGAATAAATAAGGTATAAATAAACCCAACGTACTAAATTACTCTATCTTACCTCCTAATACCCCATATATCCGACAAACAAACACACCCTATATATAATTTGTGGAGGTACATTATAGTGAGAGAAAAAAGACCCTTTTATTTTATTTTTGTTGTTTTAAACAATGTGGTTGGAACTTAATATAAGGACTTAAAGAAGCTGACCTGATAATATTGTAGATAATATAGCACAATAACATTATTGTAATTATAATATGTAGATATTTTTTTCTTTTGAACATTTCACATCATTATTAATCCCATTACTAGCCTTTTTATTTCACCAAAGAGTTCCTAAAGAGAAGAGTGGAGGAATGGAGAGAGAAACATCCCTTCAGTCTCTTCAGCTACTGGCTTCTTTCCCTCTTCACCTCTTCTTCTTCCTTCTTTCCCTTCACTGCCATGAACCATTGTCCTTAAAGATTTCAAACTGAGACCATGATCATGATCATCAAACTGTATTTTCAATACTACATTCATTTCACCTCTTAAGAGTTTATCTTTGGCTGCCCATCTTTGTATCTTCCCTGAAGTAGTCTTGGGAACATTTCCACCATTAACAAGAACCACCAATCCTACTTCAATTCCTTCTTCCTTTATAACAGTTTCTCTCACTCCTTCGCATATCTTACTCAAAACTCTAATATCTCCTTCACTCCTTTGCATCTCTGCAACAATGGCCACTGTTCTTGATACCTTAAATGCAGCAAGACAACCTGCTCGTAGAAGTTTTGGAGAACTGTTATAAGCTGTTGTTTCAATGTAATGAGGATGTATTTCTTGACCATTTTGGAGTTTTATCATGTCTGAAGATCGACCAGTGACAAAGAGATATCTCTCTTCTCCTTTGATTATTCCTCTGTCACCGGTTCGCATGAAGCACCGGCTCAGATTGGTGCTAAGTCTCCCCTGAAAAACTTCACGTGTTAAAGAAGGGTGGCCGAGGTAGCCAGAGGCGTTGCTCGGAGACGAAACCCATATCTCTCCTTCAACCCCATCCTCAACAGGCTCGTGAGTTTCTTCATTTACAACTATAATGTCAATTTCTTCTTCTTCTTCATCTCTGCTGCTATAACCAAGCCTTGCACTAGGTAAGAGCTTGTTGAAACTTGGGAAACTAGCATTGCTTCCATTTTTCCATGCTGTTGAAACGAAAGTGCAGTTCTCAGCTAAGCCATATGATGGAGAAATAGACAATGGGTTTAGTCCATAAGGCCCGAAAACTTGAACAAATTCTTCAACAGAAGCTTTGTAAATTGGTTCGTTGATGATAATCAAGTTCTTCATGCTCCATAGCGTTATAGGAAGTGTTCCTTTATCAATCCCACCTCGCTTGACCACAAGTGGCAAAGTGAAAGATGGAACTGGGGTGCAAGTTGCCTTGAACTCTGTTATCAACTCGAGCCATAGCCTAGGCCGCTTTATGAAAGCACCTGGTGATGTTAAAACACTTGTTGCACCAGACACAATGGTTAGTAACAAGAACATAAGGCCACAGTCATGGTACTGAGGCAACCAAGAAACGATGACGCTATTCGGGTGAAGATCATATGCTTTCCTTGCTATTCTGACGTTGTGAGCTGCTGAACCGGCTTTCACAAGAACTGGCTTTGGGATTCCAGTTGCACCAGACGTGTACTGTATCAAGTACACATCGTCCGATTTACAGCCATTGTATGGCGATAAACGCTGTTGTAACTCCACGTTCTTGCCTCTTATGTCCTCAGTGGAAATCCATTGAAGCTTCTGCAACAGCTCACGCAGCTGTTTGTTGCTAGAATTCGAAGAAACATGTCGTCGAACATCTTTGATGTAACTACTACTTGCTATGGCAGCTCTGGGTTTTGTCTGCGAGAGAACTCTGACAAGGTGGTGATGATTATCCTTCGAGAAAGATGGGTCAGGAGGGCTAATCGGAACGGCCAAAAGGCCAGCCCTTTGACACCCAAATATGATCTCGACAAACTCAAGCCCAGGTGAGCACAGAACAACAACAGCGTCACCTCTCTGTAAATGACAAAGAAGAAGCTGACCGGAAATGGAAGTCACTGACTTGTTTAGCTCCTCATAGGTCAGGGAAGAGCCTCCAGAGAGACCAGCTGAACCGTTTTCTGTCCAAATGAAGGCTGGTTTGGACCGGAAAGACGGCAAGCTAGCCCATACTGGAAGGTAGAGGTCGACCACTGGTTGGTCGGGAAAGCAGGGGTCATAGTTCTCGTAGTTCATCTTTCGGATTGTCGCGTATGTTGTTAAGGAACAGCCGTGTTTGGGCCATTATATATACTAGGAAGGTGGAGAAAGCAAGAACGTAGATGACGTGTTTGACGAATGACTCCAATGAAAAGTACAAAATAAAATACTCCAAGCTGGAGTCTTCTTATAGAATACTAAGTATTCTCCAGATATTCGATAAGAATATCCCACTTTTGATTAAAGGTGGAGTAATAATATCCTTTACTTTGTTTAGTCATTAACGTCATATTATAATTACTATTATTGTTGTTGGACATATCATATAATGACAAAATTGTATACAAAATAATGTCACTTCTGCTTTTAAGTAGAAGTGTTGTAATTGTCCTCTGATCAAAAAAATATACAAAATAGATAAAATTAAAAAGATCAACATTATTTGTAAGGATGATAGTGGATCGGATAAAAATGGGTATTCGTCCAAATTCGTCATGTTTGAATCGAAAATGAATTATACGTATTAGACGTTAGACATATACGAAAATATCCGTATAAACCCGTGCGAGAATAAAAGTGGGGATAGGCTGACAGTTACTCCCCCACGCCTCCGTTTTGCCCCGCTTTACCTGTTATTATTATTATTATTATTTTATATATATATACATGTTGTTGTGAATACAAATCTATATATTCTTGAATGATTTTTTTTTAAAATTGTTTTATTTTTTTATTTTTTTTATGATTTTGACTTTTAAAAGTGTAGATCTTTGTGTTTTTATATCACTATAACAAATTTATTTTTTAGCAACGAGTTTTGACGACGAACAATAAAATTTGTTGTAAAAAAATAATTTTCAACGTCAATTTCAAATGTTTCGTGTGGTAAATTTTTTTATGATATTTTTGGGGACTATTTTTTGTATTCGTCGTCAATAGTCTTCGCAAAAAAGTTCCCTCCAAAAAAAATTGGCACCAATGTTGGCACTAAATGCTAATTTTATGGGCGACAAAAAAATTTCTTTTGCTTCTTTTTTTTGATTCAACGATCAAGGGTGTTCGGACAAGTTTACGTGCACTTCGACTGATTTTTTTTTCGGTTCAGTCAAATGTAGGTCATCCACACAAGGAATAAGTTATTCATGATGGATAAATCTATCATGACCTAACCCTAAGAGATTGTTAAAATTCAAACTCAGGAAGTTTGAGTTTACAGGTTGTTCTTGTTAAAAAGTGTATCTCCAATATCCAATTTTTTTATTAATTCGTGTTTAACGAACCGTATTCTATTGGATTCATGTCGTATATGAATCATATATGATCGGTATATACACGAGTCGTATTACATATTTCTTTGATTGACTTCACTCATACTCGATTTATTTATTAATCATATTATGTCGGGTTCACTCGTTTACGACATAGATGACTTAAGAAAAACTCAACCCTTCTAATTTTATGTCGTGTTGGTGTTGTGTTAACCCCTAATCATATCACGTTGGATTTATCATTATAAAATAAATTCAGAATACTTGAAATCACTTTCTAACATACATATTGATTAAATTTGGAAATCACTAATGAAAGCCAAACGTAGAACGTCGGAGTCTATCAACAAAATCCAACAAGATAGACTTTGAACTCTCTCTTTGAAGCATTCTGTGTCCATGCTTGGCCATCTGTGTTAAGAACATGTGCTAAATACTGAGAATTAGACATATTCAATGATTATAATGATAGGTTGTTTATGACTGTTTCTTAAAACTAAAAAAAACCAAAATTATGTCTGTCATTGGGTGCATGACTGTTTCAAACTTGAACACAGGACACACAGAACACAAAGAAGAAAAGGACACACTGCGTAACTCATTGACGTATTCCAAACTTGAACACAGGACACACAGAACAACTAGTAAAAATTTTCTTGATGTTACTGTATTTGATATTTATAAGGTTGATAAGTTTCGTTTTGTAAATAAGTTATCAATTATTTTTTAAAATTTTAGAATCAGATGAAAGAATTAAGAGACAAGTCCACAAAAAATGGTGAATCACATATATTTGAGGAGAATATTGCATACACCGTCCTTAGCTACAAGTCTAGCTATAAGAGAGGTTATGGGGTTGGACCAAAACCTTCTTCAAAAAAAATGTCTAAGACTATTGTAAATGAGGAGAATGTGATGAGTCTGCAGAGAGAGCTGCATGAAACCAAGGAAAAACTCTAGCAAATGGTGAAGTGGTAAGAAATGAGAATGCAACAAATGACAGAGGTGAGATTAACAGTGCAGCGTGGTGGGGGCATTAGGGAGTTTTGGAAATCCTTAGAAGTTTTGGATATTGTTTGATGCTGTTAAAAATTGTTGGATGCTATTTTATATTTTGAGTAATTTATGAATGTTTTAGTAATTATGACGTTTTTATGGATTATCGATTGTTATGGGTGTATGATTGAATTGGTCGGAATGTTTTTGACTTGTTATAGGTGTTTTTAAATTGTTATAGGGTCAAATGAGATTTAATCATGTTCATTTTTTGGGCGACGAAATCAAGTTCTTGCTAAAATGCTGGTTGTGTGTTTGGGTAACAAATATATTTGTCGCCAATATTTTGTGTGCTTATTTTTAACAATGAAATAGAGACGGTCACTAAAATTTTCACATTTTGCGAAGATTATAATTGTTTCTAAAGATTTTATGTGGCTAAAATAATTTATTTTTTGATGACGAACAAAACATTGGCGACCAAATATGAAAATGTTTGGCGACAAAATTACGATTGTCTATTGTGTATTTTTTGCAATGAAAGTTTTGTTGTCGCTGAAAACTTTTCCAGACGAGTCTAAGGCAACAAAATGAGTTTGTCGTCGAAAATTTTTTGCGATGAAATTTATACATTTTGCGACAAGTCAATTCGTCGCTAAAAAGCAAATTTGTTACAGTGTATTTTTTTATATTGGATTATGTTATGTTGCATAATATTGTGTTGGATTGATAAGGGAGACAAACTTTTAATTATATTCTATTGGATTATGTTGTAAACAAAGTTTTAATTATATTATGTTGTAAATGACAAACTTTTAATTATATTATGATATTCTATAATTATGTTTGTTTATTTAAAATGTTATATTTATTTAAAATTTTAAATTATGTTGACTTGGGCTTGGGCTTGGACGGGTAAGGTGAATAGAGGTGGGGGCAGAGGTGAAGGCAAGGGACGGGGCGGGGGGGAGAATTACAAATTTACTTGCGAATGAGGATAAGGATGAAAATTATACCTGTTAACGGGGATGGAGACTACACCTTCTACCCCCGCCTCGGTCCATTATCATCCCTACTCACAACTAAACTTTAAACAAATTATTAAATTTTAAATTTTAAACTTAAATTTACAATTCATCCCCAGAGAAAATATTCAATACAACAATAATATTATGTTAGTATTGACAACACAGTATTGCTGACTAATAATAAAACTCTAAATGTGCAAAGTGAATCTCACTTTAATAATTATTGTGTTACATGAAAAAAGAGTAGGTAATTATTTGCTTATACAGATAGGGATGGCAGTGGACCGGATAAAATGAGTATTCGTCAAAATCCGCTCTGTTTGGATCGGGGATTGACTAACACTTACCCCCACCCCGCCCTGCCCAGTCCAGGCCCGCCCACTTTATCTGTTATTATTATTATTATTATTATATATGTTAAATATAAATTTACATATTATTGAATAATTTTTTCTTTTAAAAATTGTTTTTTTTTTTGATTTTTTTTTTCATAGTTTTGGCTTGTAAAAGTGTATGGGCATGTTTGGTTTGGTTTTCGAAAATTGTTTTTTGTTTTTAAAATTTTAAAAACATCCAAAACTTGTTTGTTTAGCTTTTTTGTTCTCTAATTTTTTGAAAATTTTGAAAATTGAGATATAATTTTAGGGAACAACAAAATGACGTTTTCATTATTTTCTAAGGCAAAATAAAAACAATGAAAATAACTATCTTCAAATTAATGAGGTCTCCCCTTCGAGTTTAATTGAAGACAAAAAAAAGAGACTGTTTCATTTTCTCCAAAACCGCCTCACTGAGCATCTGTGTGTGTGTATCTCTCTTTCTCTATTTGTTGTGGTTGTTACCCAGCAGTTGTGTTGTTGTCTTCGGTGGTAATTGTGGGTTTCAGGTGGTGGTTGTGGGCTCGGTGGTGGTTATGAGTTTTGGTGGTGATTGTGGGTTTTCGGGTGATGGTTGTTAGTTTTGTGGGTTTTGGTAATGGTTGTGGGTTTCAGGTGGTGGTTGTAGGTTTCGGTGGTGGTTGTGGGTTCGGTGGTGGTTGTGGGTTCAGTGGTTCACTGTACTTTGGTGGTTGTTGTTCACTATTCACTGCGCTTTGGTGGTTTACTGTGTTTTGTCTTTGGTTGTGCACTCTGCTTCGGTGGTTCACTGTGCTTTGGTGGTGATTGTTCATTGTGCTATGTGGGTTTCGGTGGTTCATTGTGCTTTGTGGGTCTTGATGTATAGTGAAAGAAAGAGAGACAGAGGAGATGAAGATTATTATTTAAACAAATTTTTATAATTTTTTTGTTCTTTTAAACTATTTTAAAATATACAACCAAACAGATTTTGTAATCTAAATTTTTTTAAAAATAACTCTTCCCAAAAATAGTTTTCAGACACTATTTTTTGAAATACAAACCAAACAGGCCCTAGATCTTTGTGTTTTGATATTTTTTTTATGTTAGATTATGTTATGTTACATTATGTTGTGTTGCATGATATTGTGTTAGATTTACAAGAGAGACAAATTTTTAATTATATTATGTTGTAGATAAGGTTTTAATTATATTATATTATAAATGACAAACTTTTAATTATGTTATGATATTATATAATTATATTAGATTATTTAGAATTTTAAATTTATTTAAAATTTTGGATTATGTTGGTTTGAGTTTGGACTTGGACTTGGACAGTTAAAGTGGATGGGGGTGAGGACGGAGGTGAAGGTGGGGGACGGGATTACAAATTTATCCGCGAAGAA